CTTCCCAGGGACAGGTGCTGATGGAAGGGTCCCACAGATTTGGGCTCACCCTGCAGCTTCCACGGACAGCAAGAGTTGAGACAGCCCCAATGATTAGCTTTTCTATCGCGCCTCAAAAGGAAGTGACTTCTTTTCCCTCCATGGAGCAAGTTTGCTTTGAGAAGTCTGAGATGAGAGCTGAGGAGCTGTCTTGCCTTGCAGGCTTCAGCTGGCTCACTTACTGGAGGCATTTTCTTAATCCTGAAAGGGGAACTTGGGTGGGGGAGGAAGAGTGTCAGAAAGGAAGGAGCCAGGTGTGGAGAGGTGCAGAGGGTATCACTCTACATGTTTCACCAAAGGAGAAACTTAATATTAAGATTCTTGTCAAAGCCGGACTTGTTTCAGACAATCCAACAGTGTGTGCACATCAGGTGGCTCTGGAGATGCCCCCGCCCCAGTTTAGCCACTGTTCAGCGTGCACAGGGCCTACCTGTCGTGAGCGTCCAGTGGTGGGATGTTAGTTTTCTGGATAATAGATAGTATTAACCCCAATGCTGCATTGGGGAGATTTGCTATATAGCAGTTATGCAACAGTAGTCCTAAATTTGGGGAGAAGGATTATGTGATGATATTTAACATATACTTTGCACAACTTTAAAAGTGTATATCATTTTGTCATGGTTTCTATTCACTTGTACAGTGGTTACCAGATGTTATCTTACAGAAGACGACTTCTTGATTTGTTCCCATAAACAATATCCTAACAAAGAAATGATCTTTCCAACAAATTTAAAGCATTAAACAAAGCAAATAAGTCTAAATTGTTTTGGATTACAAACAAAACAGTTGTTTTTTTTTTTTTTTTTTAGCAAAAGAGTTGATGAAAGTTAACACAAGCCTGCGCACACATCCAGAGAGGCAATTTGATCTCGTTTTTATTTTGATGGTTATGAAATCTTAAACTTTCCTTTTTTTGGTTCTTTATTTTTCACCTGCATTTTATTTAGAGTTATTAATGTTATTTAATCCCTTTGTTTATTATTTTGGAGAGTGGAAAACAGGTCAGGAAGCAATGAGAAATTAGAAAATGAACTTTATGTGTCCAGGTAGTAAGGACACATTCATCAGTGGAGAAATCCAGAATGAGTTTGGTGTGTGTGTGTGTGTGTGGTGTGTGTGTGTGTGTGTGTGTGTGTGTGTGTGTAGGGGTGGTAAATGTCACTATTTAAGACCTATTTTGGAAACTAAAGTCCATAAAATCCAGAAGAAAAAAAGAGAGCTAAGTGAATTATACATGTAGGATTATTAATTCTCCTGTTGCAAGGACTGTTTTGATAGACGCATCCTGCTAAGGTTTTCCCACAACAATGCAGGAGTGGGAGCTGGTGGATGATTGTTAATTAAAGTTCATGTGAATCAAGTGATCAAGACACTTCACTCAAATCAGAGTGGGCCACTGTGTGCAAAGCTGAACTTCCAGGTCTTTAAAGTCTCAGAGGCTCAGAGAAAGTGTGGAACTTTTTGAACCTTTTGGCACAAGAGCAGGTCCTTCCTTCTCCTCCTCAGCATGCACCCTAGGGCCTGGCTGGCCCCAGTGCCTGGTTGAGTGCAGTGGGGGAGAGTCCTGCATTCCTGAACGAATCCTGTGCTCTCCTTAGCATTAACACTGTGCAGAGAAGAATATTTGTTGGAACACTTAGGTGAGAAGCGCCCCTCCCCCGGGCGATTAGTGGATGCTTTTTGAGAGGCTGAGGGCTTGTTTGGTAGAGTGCTGGGGCCCTGGCTTTCATCCTCAGGTTCCGGATGTGGTTTAGATATAGAGATGCAGTTGGGGGGAACTTGGGTGCATTTGCATAAGGCAGCCTCTGATTACTTACTTTCTGCTTCAATAACGATTAATTTTATGTGGTCTGAGCTCCCATTAAACTCATTTTTTTGCAAACTGATTTCTTAAATACAATTGGTCACGGGGCCGTCTGTGACTTCATGTCTGCCAAATCTAACCCATTCCTTCCTTGTCATTGTTTATCTCTGTGGCTGGAAGCAAGTAGTTGCCTGTGAGCACGCCCTATGGTTTGATGCGGCCTCCCATCCTGGAGCACACAGGCATCCAATTCTGACCTCCTCCCAAATTGGGGACGGTGGGGGGCGGGGGACAATGAGCAGGTGCTTTGGAACACAGCTACCTCAGGTGTAGGACCATCAATCTCCAGGAGGAAGGAATTGCAAATACCTGGAAAGTGCTTCCCTAATTCAAACGATTTTACATAGCTGAGGTCTCTCCAAATATCCCATAAATAAAAAATGGCAGCTGGCAGGATTTTTAAACCATAGACCATGGTGCACCTCTTCCTATCACTGCACTACCGTATATCTGTCCATCTTTTTCTTATCTCTATTTTTACATTTCATTATCCTCCCCCCTTTTCTCTCCCTCCTCCCTTCCCTCCCCCTTCTCGCCTTTCCTGAAAACACATTTCTATCTGGCACAGAAAATAAACTCAGATTGTGGGTAGTTATGTTAATCTAATTCAATCCTCAGCGGGTTAAGAGTGAAATTCTAATAGTGGAACTGTTGAGGGCTTTTTTGTTAATGGCTTGGGGATTACATTGAGTTAAAGGCTCATTTCCTAATCAAACAGAGAGGGAGAGAGTGACTCCGAATATTTATGAGTCTCCCAGTGAGAGTTTAAACATTCAACTCCAAAAGCTGGGTTTCTGCAGGAGGAAAGAGTTAAAACCCCTCAGGGCTGCTGGGGAAAAAAATTAAACCAGTTAAGCCATCAGCGTTTCCAGGCTGCTGTACAACTTCTGTGCTCTGCAAAGTAGAAGGTAGGGAGGAGCTGGGGGCCAGGGGATCAGTTCACAAGGCCACCTATAGCAGACTGGGGTCCTATGCTCACCCAGGGCCTGGAGGGGCTGGGCGCTGTTACCTCCTCAAGCCAATCTTCCTCCTCCAGCATGGAGGTGAGATGTGGAGACAATGGTATGGCTCAAGCACCAGCCCCTGGAGATCCCCCTGCTGCCCGGTGAGGCTAGAGGAATGGAGCCTCCCCGACTTTAGTCCTGCCTCTGACATGCTGAGTGTTCTTCCCTTTGGAAAGTAACTCACATGTCTTCCCACTCAGCTTCAGTCCCGTGAGGATCTCAAAGCCCATCTGGCTCTCTGTGCCCAGGTGGAGAACTGAGGGCCAACTTGGCCAAGGTGGAGCAATGTCAAGGCCAAGCTGAGGTCAGGAGTCTAAGCCCAGGCAAGCCTTCTGGCCTCCCTCTCCCCTCATTCTCTTGAGTATACTAGAGGAAAGGGGAACGTCAGGGCCATATGGCTGTTAAACAGGCCCTGCCTGGCTCCCCCGGAATGAGATTTCCTTCTTCAGTTTGGAAAGGGAGGGCAGGAGTCCCGGATGCAGGGTGATTCAGCAGGCTCCATGGACACTGGTGCTTTTCTCTACCACCAACCAAGTGAGCAGTGACTGTTCCTTTCACTTGGGCTTTTTTTCTGGCTCCATGAGGTCAGCAGAGGCACCAGGCAGCAGATTTTCTTTCTTTCTAGGATCCTTTGGCTTTTTTGTTTCCCTATCCCTGGGAGCTGTTCTTTCTCTTAGTGCTTCAAACGTGGTGGCCCGTGAGTCTTGTGTTTGCCTTTTCATGTCCCGGTAGCATTTCAACACAGCTACTTCAGCTTTTCTGTGAAGTCATCTCTCTCTCTCAGGGTTTTCACAGCCCCTAGCTGACTTCCTCCACATGGCCTTCACCTGCCACCAGGACCCCCACAGGAGCAGGGCTGTGCCTCAGTCTCCCCTGTTAGCGCAGCTCCATGGTGATCAATCGTGCCCCCTGCCCTCACGTGTGACTCCTGTGGACGGTATGAAGCTGAGGTTCAGAGCACAGGCTGAGTCCGACAGCCAAGGGTCACATCCACCCTTTCTCAGCTGAGATACCAGAGCTACCAAACCGCTCAAGGTCTCCCTTTTCCCCTCTGCTAAATGGAGATAACAACAGAATCTGCCTTGTGGGCTGCTGGAAAGCAAGATGCCCCAAAGTGCTTAGCCCTGTGCCCAATAAGTGTTGGCACTTTTATTTGCTTGGCACAGTATTCCCTTCTGCACACAGAGGATTGCCCCACTGTGGGTCTTGTGACAGCCTCCACGCCTACCCCTAGGGGTGGTTAAGCTAGGTGATGAGTCAGCAAAACCCTGCTTCACCCTCCAACCACTAGGGAGGTTCACTGCTAACCACTAGGGCGCCAGAGCTCAGGGTGTGTTGGGAAGACCTTGGGGCTTTTCAAACCCCAAGGGAGGGCAAAGGAGGAGCTGGGCCCAGGCAGCATCCCTTCATTGGAGAAGGCCTGACTCTCCATTCTATGGAAACAGTTTCGTCCATCTTTTGGCCTTGGCTCTCATCCCAAGGAGCAGTTTGGTTCTTCTGAGGTCCCACTCAGCTTTAGTCCCGTGAAGACCTCAAAGCCCATCTGGCTCCCTGCACACCTCTCTACCCCACAGTATCAGAGGGCAGTTTGCACGTTCCCATGGGTAGACCAGGCCCGGCCTGGCTAGAAAGATGGCACATGCATCTAAAAGGTGGCAGGTGGCTGCTCTGTCAGCCTCCCTCCTAATGTGACCACTTGACCAAGTACATATCACCTGCAAGAAATGGCCTCTCCTGAGATGCCCTCAGTCCTGATGTCCTCAACACTCCCGTATCTCTGCATGGGGACTCACTGTGCTGCCAGGTGAAAGTCCCTTCTCCTTTTCTTCCTCCATAGGTAGCCATTTGGTTCCTGATTGAAGCAGGGGTCTGGAACCCAAATCACAGTGCCACTCGAACTTAGAAAGTGTTCCGTCTTCTCACTGCCTCCTTTCTGCTCCCCCTCCAAGCAGCTGGCAGGTACTATTCTAAACACTTGGATTGTCACTGTCTCCCTTTTGGCCTCCTTAGTCTTCACCTTTGAAGTCCCCAGTGCCTAGTGCACTGCCTGGCACATAATATATGTTCAACAAATGCGTGCAAAGTGTAGAATCTCTCCTCCCCGGGGGGCACTTCATTCCCTTTGTCCTCTTAATCATGCAGGAATGATTTGAAGCCATGAATGCCCATGCCCTTGGACTCATGGTCCTTGCCCAAGTCCCTTTTATTCCCTGACCCTCCTGCTTCCATGTTCCTCTGTCCATAGAGGGGTGGGGGTGGAGTGGGGGGTGGGGGAGAGATGTGTGTGTATGTGTGTGTGTGTGTGTGTGTGTGCACGTGTGTCTTCTATTCATGTGTGCATGAAATTTCCCAGGAATTTTATCCTGTTCAGTAAAGAAGCTTTGTCTAAGTCGATGTCAGATTTAATTGCTGAACTGCTCTCTCCTGTGACTATTTCCCTCCTTTGCCACACTCTCTTCTCTCGCCTTTCTGAGCCTACCTGCTTCCTCTGGCTGTTCAGACTCTGTGGGGCCCCGTGCTCCTCCTCCTACTTTAACCACTCTAGTCCCAGGGGTACACATAAGAGGGAGACCTTCCTCTGAAGCTTTCCAAAGTGTCTGCTTCCATTAGCATGGACAAGGCCTTTGAAAGGTGTCGAATTAGGAACATCATTTTAGGTACTGGATTCCTCCCAGAACAGTATTTCTTTTTCTGCTCTCCTGTGGAAGATGGAGTGCAGAAACTCAGGCTGTTGAGGGTTAAGTGACGGCAATGAAAAGTCTAGTCTCTCCTGGGGCCTGGTGGCTGCCTGAGACAATTGATTAGCTTGGCTTAGTGATCTTTCTAGCAATATTCAGGAGAGAAATTATTGCTGATTAGGCTGTGTGTGTGTGTGTGTGTGTGTGTGTGTGT